CGCTGGACCCCGGCTCGGGCGGGCGGTCCTGGCGGCGGAGCCCTTCGGCCGGCGGCGTTCTGGCGTAGATCTGGACGGCGGCGGTGCGGAGGCGTTGCCCCTTGGTGGCAGTGACGGCCCATGGCTTGCGGCGGCCGGCGGCGCCCGGCTGGCCCAGATCTAGGCCCTACGGGCCCGATCTGGGTCGGGGCGGGCCTACTGGGTGGCCGCAGTGGGCTGTTCTCCGGTGGTTTCCGGCGAGCTCCTCGCGACAGGGACGGCGGCTGCTGTGCCGCGACTGCTGCAGCACGGCGGCGGAGCTTCACGGGCCCACGCTGGGCCTGGCCGGACAGGGCGTCTGGTGTGCCTCTGCTGCTGTGCCCGGTCTGCTACCGCCTATGCCGGTGGAGGTTGTTCCCTCCCTCGTGGCTACGGTGCTGTCGGTCCTTGTCTTCGGGTGTCTCGTGTGGATCCGGCCGGCCTCGCTTCGTTGGCCGTGGTGAGACGACGGTGGTGTCCTCGTGACCGTTGGCGCATGTTGGTGGGCGGCGGGTGTGGTGGAGCCGAAGGTTGGTCCTGGGTGGTGGGCGCGAGAGGTCGGGAGAAATCCATGTCGGGTTGCCGGCACCAACGCGGTGACGCCTGCGGGCGCCGCCATCCTTCTTGAAGGGCGTCGGGTGACCCTCTGCCCCCCCCCCTCTACCCTCCGTGAACCGGGAGAAATCCTAGGATTCGTCCGGGCAGCAGCGTCGTCATCGTCGCATTCCTTCTTGAAGGTGGTGCTTGGTACACGGCAACTCGGTGGCTTTGGAGCGTGGTGGTTATCTTCGGTGGGCGCAGCGATCGCGGTGTGCTGTAGCTTTCGTTGATCCGGCGTTGTTGGCATTTCTTCTCTTATTTTCTCTTGTTTTTTTCTTTTGGGCGTGCTTGTGCTGTTTGCCCCAGCGTGGTTCGAAATGTTGTATCGGGTGGTTGCTATATCAATATAGCAGGGCGTAAGCCTATTTCTGTAGAAATCTAAATATGCATTCGTTTATTCTTATCCGTGCCAAAGGACTGTTCCTATGTTACAAACTTATAGTTCAACTATAAATTATGCATCATCTCTATATTCTTAAAGGGGAAGTTGGTAGTCTCGCCTCAGGTCTCACCAATCATATATTACGTTCGCGAGCGTCTTACAGGCGACCTTTAGCAACCAAGAGCAACCAATTTGGGCCGGCAAATTTCACGTGTGCATTAACTCAATGAAATCGGCACTTTCCCAAAACAATGTCATGCATTAACACATTCAAATCAAATCTTAAGAAAATCTCATCTAAATCCAAACTTTCATTGCCTTCTACTACTCATAACCAAATCAAATCAAAACTTATCAAAACATCAACTATAATCAAAGTTGCCTGGCACATTTGACGTGTGCATTAACTCAATCAAATCGACACTTTTCCAAAACAGCGTCATCCATTAACTCATTCAAATGAAATCTTAAGAAAATCTCAACTAAACTCAAACTTTCATTGACTTCTACTACTCATAACCAAATCAAATGAAAACTTACCAAAACATCAACTATAAGCAAAGTTGCCCGACACATTTGATGTGTGCCCGTGTTATTTATTTTTCATTTTTTTTATGTTTCATTTTTTGGTTTCATTTTTTCCTATTTCATTCTTCTCTGACTAACCTATTATTTTGTACTCGATATACTATCAGAATCAACACAGAGTTGTACGTCATGGTGAGTTGGTAGCATCGCCTCCATTTCGGCTAAATAAAAATGAACACATTAATGCAATTAATTTGATAAGCAATTAATTACATGTGCAATTAATTAGATCCAGTTAAATAGGGATTTATTCGCACTGAATAAATTCGAAAATTGATTCATTAATAATGAGGCTGTTAATTAGGCCTAAATATAACTAGAAGTAGCTATTTTTTCAATTAGGAAGACAATTACTTAATTAGGCAGAAAACATTTTTTTTGAAAACTCAAAACAGTTTTTGAAAAATAAGTTTTTAAAAAACATGACCATTTTTAAAAATTATGAATAATTTTACAAAAACTCAAAACATTTTTTGAATTTGCAAATTTTTTAACATGAACTTTTTAAAATTTGTGAACCCGAAACGGTAGTATTTTTTGAATTTGAAAACAAAGACGGAAAATAGGAACAT